TTTTAGATAAATTTTCAGGTTATAATCTTACCTCAAAGAAAGCTGCGAAGAAATCTGATAAGAAGTCAACTACGAAGAAGGCAAGTTTTGAATCTACCCGCAGAAATGAATTAAGTGAAAGCTTTTACAATAAAGTCGACTCTCTTGAAATTAAACCGAGTAGAACTTCGCCTTATTATAAAAATTCGAATAGTTTCGAATGTAATTACAATTTTTTAATGTTATTTAGATTAATTTAAAATTATATGATTAATTTAATCTATTTATTTATAAGCTCTTGCAAGATCTATTTCGAAAATTATTAAGAATCAAGGCGAGATACTTAAGGAAGTTAAAGATATTAAGGCAAAAGTCAGGATTATGGAAACTAGATTGAAAGATATTGAGGAAAAATTAGATGCTAATTTTGATTTTCCAACAATAAAACATTTAAAGAAATAATTATTAAGTTTTAATTAATCTTTTAATATTATAATAAATAATAAATAACTTTAATAAATTTTATTTAAGGATGTGATCAAAAATATATCTAAAGAAATTTTAACTAAAGCGATTTATCCGGAAGAAGAGCTAATCAGAATGGAATTAGATAGATATATCAAGAATAATTATAAAGAAGATTACAAGAAAAATACACTGAGTTAGTGGAATGCCTATTATACAAGAAACATAGACCAGTAAAACCTTTTTATTTAAGTTATATATTTTATATGTTTCGAATTGATTCAAAATATTTTAAATTATTTTGAAACAATTCGAATTATATTAAATAATTTAATTTACTAATTATAATACTTTTAGTTTTTGAAACAAATTAGATCTTTGCGAGATTTACTAACAAGCAATATAAAAAAATGTACGTTTTCTGTTTTTGGGAGCCTTTTAGATAAATAGATAATTTGGCTTCATCAGATGATATTCGAGATTGGAAGGCCTTGGAAAAGACTAAAAATTGTTATAAAATGCTATTTAAAGAGATAGAAAAAGGTTTTGAAGAAATGTATATAGCAAGGATATTAAAAAAAATTTGGCCAGATGAAGATGCTTCTGAAGAAAATGTAGCTTATGCAATAGCGGTAGCTCAAACTATACTAAATCCTGGTTACGGCAAAATAATAATAGAAGAAAGTGCTATAAAAAAATTGGCTACAAGATATTTAGTAAGTATTTAATATAATTTTCATTATAATGAGTTAATTTAATTAACGAAATTCAAACTAATTTGAATTAAATAGGAGAGCTTAAAATATAGTAGATCATTATCTGATCCAGGCTCAGAAGTCGAATCTTGTGATAAAGAAAGAGATAAACTTAGAAAAAAAGATTCAAATAAAGTTGAAATAGTAAAAATAATTTTAAATTATTTAATTTGTATTTAATTAATTTACAAACTAATACAAATATTAAATTTAATTAGAATAAAGTTCCCAAATGCAAAAATGATTCGAATCAATCCAAAAGGGTATAATTTTTAATTTTATTTAATTTAATTGAATTTATTTTAATTTTTATGTATTATTTAGACTTGTAAAAGGCCAAATTATAGTAAGAAAAACTTTAAATAAATTAACTTTAATTAAATTAATTCACAATATTTCGAATTAGCTATTTTTTATTTTTTATTTTTGAAAATAATTTGAAGGAGTTCGAGTTAGTTCGGATGAGGACACAACTAACCAAGAAGAAGTACCTGAAGAAGCCAAAAATATTCTGATAGATGATGATTATTTGGCCTCAGATGATGATGATGATAATGATGATAAGAGAGCTACGGTTGATGACGAGAAAGATATGGATGATGATAAGTAAAAGTTTTTATTTTTTTGCTTTGTTTTTTTTTTATTTGAATAATACTGCGTTTTTTTGCCTTTTATTTTTATATATTTCTTTTAGGATTTTTTATAATTTAGCTTTTTTTTTTATGTAATTTTTAAAATTTTAAATAAAATAAAAGATAAAATTATTAATAAAATATATTTTAAGTTATAAATTTTATATTTTGTTTATTTAAATAAAGTTTATAAATTTAGTTTATTTCGAATTAATTTGAAAATATCTAATAAATCATATAATTATTGCATTTTAATATATTTATATTTTATTTAATTTATTTCAAATTAATTCAAATTACCCGAAATATTTCAAATAGTATCTGATAAATTCGAATTGATTAGCGTTTCTTTTTCATTAGTAGCTATCTTTTAGTTTATAAATATTTGCTGTTTTGATGCATTTACGTCGATTCGAATTGTTTCGAACTAATTCAAAATATTGCGCAATTTATAGCGTAATATTGTGCTATAAGTTTCGTAATTTTGCGTAATATATTTCATAATATTATGTTATATATTGTACAATATTTTGCAACTTTTTGTATAATATTATGTCCAGACTGTAATTATTGTGCAATATTTCGAGGCGTAATAACTTATGTAAGATTACATTAATATGTTTTGCTGATGTTGTATATTAGATAGTAATTAGACAGAGATATAAGTGTGATTATAAAGAGGTTTTTATATGATATGATTATATAGGAGGTGATTATAAAGAGGTATGACTGTAATTTTAAAGCCTCTTTGTATTTCTCCTTCTAGTAGTATTACTATCAGCTTGAATAAATTTTATCCTTATTAAGAACTCACTATTATTAATTATATTTAAAATTTCTTGAGCTCATCTTTCGGTCATTCTAGCTTCTAATTTTCTTGATTCTATTTAATATTCTACTTTTTTTAACTAGTTTTTATATCCTTTATTTACTGCTAATCATTGATTTCTTTTTCTAAATAATTACAATATAGGTATTGTAAAAATAGTCACTATATAGCTTCATCTTCATTTTCTAATGCTTTATAAGTATCTACTGCCAAATTTATAGTTTCATTGATTTCTTCTTCTGAATAATTCTGATATAGGCATTGTAAAAATATCTTTTATATAGCTTCATCTTTATTTTTTGCTCCTAATATTATATTGGCTAAATCTATCTTTTTAGCTTCTGTAAACCAAGTTGAGAAAGCATATTCAGCTTCATCTATCTTGAATATATCCTTTATAGTCTGAATTCTATTTTGCCATATTAAGCAATGCTCTTTATTATCTGGAAATAGAACTAGCCAAGGCACTTCTATATCTAAATCCAAAAATTTACCTTTATGATTAAACAATTCTTGAATAACATCAAGAGAATTAAATAAGTACAAATCTGCAAAAACCTGCAAAAATGCAGATTTTTGCAGAATTTTTTGCAAAAAAACTGCAAAATTTCCAAAATTTTAAAATTTTGTGCAGAACTATATTTAATTTCTATAGCCATAGTTGGTGAGTTTGAAGTTTTGTACAGATTTTCATTTAATATATTATTTAATTTTTTTGCAAATCTGTGCAAAACAGCACTAAAAAATTTTTTTTAATGGAGTTGCAATTCTATATTATTTGATAGCATGGATTGTTGAGTTATTATTTTTTTGATTCAGTAAGTCTACCTTCATGATGAGCTTGGGTTCGAGGACCTGGACTAGCTTCAAGATCAATTTTTAGCTGTACTATTGAAGATAGCTCATGCTGAAAATTTGCTTTCTTGATTTTGGGTTCATTAAAGAATTTTTGCTCTTCACGCTTTTCTCTTTCTGTTGCAGATCAAAAATATGTATTTGGATCTAGTTGTAATAATTCATTATAAAGAGCTTTAGTTTCGGCCAAATTTTTTGACTAATTACAATTCTTGTCATTTAATTCTTTGACTTTTTTTCATAATCTCGATTCCCATTGTTTAACAAACTCATTTGATTTTCTAGTATTGGAATCTTGAAACTGCAAATTTGAATTGGTTATGAGTGAATATTACGAGTTAGTTGTAATAAAGCTTGACATGGTCTATTTTGTATTAGATCTATATACTTATTAAGATTTCTTGTTTTTCTAGTTTTAGGGCTCCACCCACTTCCTGAATATTTATTTACCATGTTTTCTGGTGTTTTTTATTATATTTTAATTATTTAGATCTTTTGTTTAAATAAGAAATATTATTTTACTTATATATCCTATTCATCTACAAGTTTATATCTAAGTAGATATAGTTAGCAAATATAAAATGCATGTTATTTGAGAAAATTAATTAATAGAAAGCCTGCATTCTCATAGTTACTACTCAGTAACTACTCAGTACTGTATACTGGCTCATACCGAAGCTAGAAAAAAACAGACAATATATACTGGTAATATATATCTTTTTTCCGAAAGACAAAGAGGAAAAAAGTACTAATAATATAAATAATAGTAATAAATCAAGTTTAAGACATATTAGTTCATCACTTGTACAAAAATTTGCCTAAACCTGCATAACTTAAAAAATTTATTTTTACAATAATTTACTAAGATAACCTA